GAGTTACCTTGACGCAGTCTGGCATTTCCTGGGAACAATTGGCTAGAAACCCGCAAGCGATGCACGCATCGTTATATTGATGCAACGTTAATCAGGCGTTGGTCGTACATTAATCAGTCATTGTTCAGACATTAATCAGTCATTAATCAGACATTAATCAGTCATTAATCAGACATTGATCTAAGGTTAAAAGAACGGAAGTCGTATAAAATAATAGGTTAAAATAGGCTATAACAATAGGTTATTTAAAGGAAACCCCAGGCTTAGAGGTTACTTCACCCTTATATGGCCGACGACAATCTCAGGCTATTTTAATCAAGTAAATGTTCAGTTGTTCACCGTCTGTCGTAGTATTAGTAGCCCGTGGCAAGGAGGGTGCTGTGGCAGGGGAGGCTGTGGCAGGGGAGGCTGTAGCAAGGGAGGCTGTGGCAGGGGAGGGAGTGGCAGGGGAGGCTGTGGCAGGGGAGGCTGTGGCAGGGGAGGCTGTGGCAGGGGAGGCTGTGGCAGGGGAGGCTGTGGCAGGGGAGGCTGTGGCAGGGGAGGCTGTGGCAGGGGAGGCTGTGGCAGGGGAGGCTGTGGCAGGGGAGGCTGTGGCAGGGGAGGCTGTGGCAGGGGAGGCTGTGGCAGGGGAGGCTGTGGCAGGGGAGGCTGTGGCAGGGGAGGCTGTGGCAGGGGAGGCTGTGGCAGGGGAGGCTGTGGCAGGGGAGGCTGTGGCAGGGGAGGCTGTGGCAGGGGAGGCTGTGGCAGGGGAGGCTGTGGCAGGGGAGGCTGTGGCAGGGGAGGCTGTGGCAGGGGAGGCTGTGGCAGGGGAGGCTGTGGCNAGGCTCTGTTGTCCCAGTAAAGCTGCAGGCTCTGTTGTCCCAGTAACACTGCAGGCTCTGTTGTCCCAGTAAAGCTGCAGGCTCTGTTGTCCCAGTAACGCTGCAGGCTCTGTTGTCCCAGTAAAGCTGCAGGCTCTGTTGTCCCAGTAACGCCTGTCTCTTATACACATCTAGATGTGTATAAGAGACAGCGTAAATATCATGAAATCGCTTCCGTGTGACAATTTTCATGGAAATTCTATCAATTCCTACGAATTGCGACAGGCTCGCCCACTTTCCAACAACTGAGCATGCAAGTGAATGGGAGGGACTTGCACACATCGGGGACCATCCGACGCTGCGTCCTCGGTGGCAAAGGACGGAAAGATTCATCACATTTTAGCAATCTAGAATAATTACCTTGAGTGGAAAGGTGATGGTCTGCCCCCCCTCCCCCCACAAGAGGACCTGGTCAGCACCTTAATAATTACCTAGAGTGCAAAGGTGATGGTCTTTACCACCCCCTCCCCCTAGCATAAAGACCAGGGCCTATACTTTCAAAAAAAGTTAGGAGATCGTAAGTTCATCAGCCAATCATTGACAGCCTTTCAAGCAAAATCCACCAATCATAGACAAGAAAATACAGCGTAAGTACTTACGTTCACTTAGCGAGTTCTGAAAGTATGGCCCCTGGTCAGCACCTTAATAATTACCTAGAGTGCAAAGGTGATGGTCTGCACCCCCTCCCTCACAAGAAGACCTGGTCAGCACCTGCAGCAGGTGTGGCCGACAGAACAGGTTTGTCGTCAGGCGCGATGTTGCCTCTTTCATTATCAGTTGTCCCGGCAACAGCGCGCACCTACCAGCACATGGCCGCGTTATGGACGGCCATCCAATATCCGTCCACAATTACTCTCAATAAAAACTGATGTAAAAAGCCTTAATTGCGGTAGGCTCAGCCGTATCCTGGAAGATCAGAGTTACCTTGACGCAGTCTGGCATTTCCTGGGAACAATTGGCTAGAA